GAGAAACAGAACCATATAATGGATGCTGGTTTACAGCATATACAGCCTCCTGAAGAACATTGCCCCAACCCTTCAAGGTATTGCCACCTAGCTGGTGCCTTATTTGTGTTTTTAAGAGGCCATTCCATCGTTCTATCAAACCAGCTGCTTCAGGATGGTGGGGATCATGATAAGACCAGTGAATTCCATGAGCATAAGCCCACTGCCACACTTCAGGTGCTATGAAATGAGTCCCTTGATCTGAAGCAATGCTGTGTGGGATGCCATGATGGTGGATAAGACATTCTGTAAGTCCATGGATGGTAGTTTTAGCAGAAGCATTGCATGCAGGGAAGGCGAATCCATATCCCGAATAAGTATCTATTCCAGTAAGAACAAAACACTCTCCTTTCCATGATGGAAGTGGTCCAATGTAATCAACCTGCCACCACGTTGCTGGCTGATCACCCCGAGGAATAGTTCCATATCGCAGACTCAGAGTTGGTCTCTGCTGTTGGCAGATTGAGCACTCAGCAGTGGCGGTAGCCAAATCAGCCTTGGCAAGCAGGAGTCCATGTTGCTGTGCCCATGCATAACCTCCATCCCTGCCACCATGGCCACTTTGTTCATGAGCCCATTGAGCAATGATAGGAGTAGCTGAGGAAAAAGACTGCTGGTTTTCACTGAACGTGTTATCCTATCCACCTGATTGTTAAAAGTCCTCCTCTGCCAAGGTCACCTTTTGGTGGGCATTCACATGGGACAGAAATATCTTTACTCCTTCGGCCCATTCAGAGAGATCTATCCACATGTTCCTTCCCCATACATCCTTATCACCAGTCTTCCAATCATGCTCCATCCAAGTCCCAGACCATCCAGCTAAGCCGTTAGCCACAGCCCATGAATCTGTATATAATCGCACATCTGGCCATTTCTTGTTCCATGCAAAGTGAACAGCCATATGCATGGCCCAAAGTTCTGCCCATTGGGAGGATTTCCCTTCACCACTGTCTTTCAAGGAAGTCCCAGAGAGGGGTTGCGGTGCCGCTGCTGTCCACTTTCAAGTGGTGCCTGCATATTGCACAGAACCATCTGTAAACCAGACACAAGTTTTCTCTTTCTCAATCAGCTGATCATAAGGAACTCCCCATGAGGACATAGGTGCAGAGTGGGACAGGAAAGGTAATGTGACTGGAGTGGAGACCATAGGTATTTGGGCCACTTCCTCATGTAACTTACTTGTGCCTTCAGGTCCTGCTTGAGTCTGATCTCTGATATAACACTTCCATTTAATGATGGAGTGCTGCTGTGCACGTCCAACTTTATGACTCTGTGGGTCAGACAACACCCAGTTCATGATGGGCAGCTCAGGCCTCA